AACACCTCTGTCTTTAAGTACAAAGCTGTAGGCTGTAGCAGCTTTAGGAAACATAAGTATCCTTTTTTCTGCTGCACAGTATCTGTGTGTGAAATTCTCTAAAGGGGTTTAAGTATTTACCCTGAACACTATCAGACAGTTTCTAAAATTTTCCTTATCCTGTTGCAAAAACACTTCAAAGGGAATCATAAACACAGCCCTTTGTGCTTTCAGCACACACTTTGTTTTGGAAGCTTAGGTCTGAATTCCCTCAGAATTGTAAATATTTTTTAAGGAAGATGTGGAATACAACTTTTTCTTTAAAAAAGACGGTTAGCAATTCTGCTGTCAACAATGCTGAACCTTTGCTCATATTTCTGGGAGTTATAAATACAGGACTCAAGGAAATTAGTGGCAAAAAAGACCTTCAGGATCACATTTTGAGGTTTTATTATTGTTGTTTAAGATAAAAGGTACATTTCCAGGAACACTTGACTCCTGGTGTACATAAAACATAACCTGCCAAAAACATTTATTCAAGGGGTCTGGCATAAGCAGATAAGAAAAGCCCAGCAAGACAAGAGATATGGCTAAAATTTGGGTCTTGGAGCTGCCGCGTTGTGCCTGCATTTCACAGCTCATTAGGCAAATAAGCTCACCCATCGCGGCGGGTCCGGGTGCAGGGCTGCGCCACAGCAGTGGCCAGCGCCACAGCAAAGCCATTTACATCCTGCCTCTGCATCTCCCGAATCCTGCCTGACAAGGTCAGACCCATTCGAACGTCACTTCAGTTGCTCTGCATTTTCCGAAAATGCTAAACAAACAGCCCGTTTGCAACACCGGTGTGTATATATATATATATTTAATGTACATGGTTAAGTGTTCAAAAGGCCAAAGGCTGGGAAAGCTATGAGAATTCCTTTAAAAAACATTTTGCCTTTAGAGTTTATCACAGTTATTCTGGAACTGAAAGATTCTGATTTAAACACACATTTAAACCCTTGTTTTAATTTGGGAAAAAAAATATGAAAATATATTATGGCCCTGGGCTGAGATTTTGTAGCTCAAGTTTCAGCCTAGACTCAATTCTGCCTGCCGGGCTAAAAGCCCTGGACAATAGTGGCTTACAGCAGGAACATGCTTCACATGCAGCAACAGCAGCAAATAATGAAGCAGATTTCAAAAAGGGGGAGGAAAAAAATGATGTCTCAAGAAAATAGCTTGGTTCTCCAATTGCAATTCATTTGTATAAATTGATAAAAGGATAATATTGAGGAGAAAAGGAATTACGACTAGTTAGCACAGTTGTTAAAAACTTCCAAATCCAGGTGAAAATGTTGTATACCAAGATACCAGCCTGCAAGAAATGTCTCGGTGCCCAGCATAAATACACTATGTGCCCTGCTGGTTTTATCCCACATTTTAAACTTAAAGGTATGCAGCATTTCAATACCATTAGCTGTGTTTTTAGAATGTCAAAATGTAAAACAAATGGTATAACAATTATTTGCATTTAAGTTATAACATGAAAAAATAGTTCTTTAAGATCTATGTTGCATTCCTTTAAGACTTTTATAGTAAGCAAACAGTTCTGCTGTTAAATATAACTCAGAATCAGTCATATGTTTCTGCACATTTTAGTACTATGATTTTCTTCCTCTTGCCAAATTCCTGCATAAATGGGTGGGATTAAATGGAGCCTAGCCTACCTAACATAATTATATATGTTGTGATTTTATACTGCAATGAAACTGATACATTTTAATAATCCCAGTCTTGGCTCTGACCCACCAAAGTCAATAAAGGTTATTAAGGCCAAATGCCATATAAATACATTGCTACACTGCTAAATGGACTGTCAAAGCAGGAAATACAATTCATACCATATAGCACTACTAGCGTCTTCATTCTTTAAAGGAACACTAGGAAAACAAACAAAAAATACTCCTTGGCATTTGATATTTCTGAGTATAAGCACATCTATTTACTTTTCATTCCACAAACAAAAAACACCGCACTGATTTACGTTTTACTTAGTCAAATATGAATCAGCCTGAAACAAAATAAACAAAAAGAGCCTGTAGGATTTCGAGAGTTCTTGCTGATTTGGCATGGTGTTAAAACATTTTTAGAGCTAAAATAAATGTCAGATTTTTGAGGTTTGCATGATATCAGACCCTGAGAGACAAATTGTCTCTCCGCTGAATCTCAGAACAGCTACAGCAGGACTTCGTCACATCACATGAGATTTAAGCTTTTCAGACTTCTCTTTACCCAGAAAGCAAAGCTTGTACAGTCTTTTTTTCAAATGGTAACTCTCCCTTTGAATCCAGCAAGCGTTTATCCCGATGTTGCACATGATAACGTGTTAATCTTGGATGACTTTTAACAAAAAACCCTCAAACATTTGAATACCCTTCATATTTTTCAGAGTGGGGGTAGGGGGGAAGAGACCGGGAGAAAAGACGATGGGTTAAACTGCTTTAGGTTTAATGGTTCATAAATGCACGGGGTAATATTGTGGGAGAAGTGATGCTTTATCAGAATGTCATTCAAATGAAAGGTTTAGCATTTACATCACAAGAGTGAGCTATAAGTAAAACTCTCCCCAGGGAAAGAAATGCCAGGAATACACGTTGAGATAAAATTGGCTACCTACTGTAATGTTCAAAAATACAAGGTAAAGCCCAAAGGTTTGGGGACACTGCGTTAAATTTTCTGAACTATTTTATCTTGTTGTGACACTAGAGAAATTACAGGAAGCAGAATCAAATATTATAAAACTCTCCCCTCTTTTTAAATGCATCACTAAATCGGGAGAAGAGCACACAGACATCCCATGCCTGACTTCGTAACACTCCAGACACACACATAAAACATGTTGGGAGTTGCTCTGCTCACAAATCTAAAGAAAAATACACTGCTTAATTATTTTTCTTTAAGAAAAAACACCTTCTAAGTCATAATATTCTCCTGAAACAAGATAAACAATTGCAAAACTTATAATTTAAACACTTTTCCATATTATAATGCAATAATCTTTTGTGTTAAAAGAGAATCATCCAGCTAAAACTATAGATTTGGAGTAAAAACACTGAATGCAGACTATGAGGTACCTTCAGAAATACCTTTTTGATTTAACTTAATGCTGGGGAAGCCAAAGACAGAGGAAAACACTGCACTTTTTATGTTAAATTGCTGTTGAATTTGTTAACCCACAATTGATTTCCTGTGTTATGGAATCTCAGAGATTATAGCTAACTTGAAGCAACAGGGATAATTCCCGATGTTAATGCTCCATTTCGGTGTATTTTTTGTAGCCGGTGCCTGTTGTGGCGCTGGGACCACGGCTCAACATTGCCCCCTCCTGTCCCTTCCTCAGAGTCCCAGCGCTGGAGGTTGGGAGACAAAAAAGCCACCACCAAGTCCCAACCACAGCAAGCATCAGATTTACGTCGCGTCTGAGCAACACAGACATTCTCAATTAAAATTCTCTTCTGTCTCCTCCAATAGCTGAAATTAATTGTGATTAATGTGTTATAAGTCATAAAACATTAAAACAATTTTTAAATTTTAAATTAGAAGCAGCTTCTGTCTTGGCCCAAACCTTCAGCTTGCTGATAAATATCATCCTGAGGCCTGTTGAAAGGAGATACACTGACGCCACCATGTTTCTAATTAGAGCCACATGGTAATGTCACACCAATTGCAGAAAATCTAACCCTTGAGAATTCCCCAGTTTGCTGTTTTCCCATGTTCTCGACACACAATGGATATAAAATAACAATCAAACATTCTTGTCTCTATCTCGTATAAGTCTGTGCTACGAGAGGGTAAGTTGTCATTTAAAAAAAAACAAACCAAAAGGTTATTCTAACAAAGCAGTTCATTCGAGATCTCCAAAACATTAGCAGAACGTGAGCACATGAAAAAGCAAAAAAGTTATGTAAAAATAAGCAGGTTAGAAAATCATTTCCCAACTTTTGTTCAAGAACCCAGGGTTCACTGACTTCTTGCAGCAATTGATTTCACAAAGTCCCACTTTTCCACAGCACTTTTCAAATCTGAAAGCAGTTGCTGCAGGAAGAGCTTAGAGCTCTTGCACACCAGTCTGAGAAATACTTTTGCCTCTCAAACTGACTGGCACCCTCCTTGTTGCAACACGCCTCAGATTTGGAAAACATCTCTACTCAAATCATATTGAGCATCCTGGCCTATACCACAAACTTTTCCAAGACAGCTCTGGACAAATTGAGGCTCAAGTCATGACCAGCAGAAATTCCTTTGAGAAGCTGCTGCTGCAGCCACAAGGATCCTAGCGAGACAGGCACTTTTGTCAGCGTAGCTCCTCCTGCATAAACACACATGGGCAGGCATGGCAGCACCTTTATCAAACACAAGGTCTCCCAGCTGAGGCTCTACTGGGATAACTGGCTGTCACTGATACCACTCAGGCAGTTTAAGGAAGGCAGGGACATGCTTTTAAATATATAGGAACTGCCATAACTCCTATTATTCAGGCAACTAATTGGCTCAGCACCCACCAGAATTTGCTGCAGGGCCTTGCTGTGACTTAAGTGCAGGTATGAGCTGGACAGAGTTCTACCCCCAGACCACTGGATTTTACTCTCAGCTCTGCCCTGGCACATTCACCACTGCTGTCAGTGACAGGCTTAAGCACCTTGTTGCGCTCAACTCTTCCATACAACAGCATGAGACAGCTTCGTGTATCAATTGGCATGCTGTACTTCTCACTTGTCATCTTTGGAAGCTGTCAGACTTTATAAACAAGCAAAGAAAGGAAATAACTAAAATCTTACCCTTTTCTTAAAAATTTATTCATATTTTGGTTACTGTGACAGAAAAACAAGGAGGTAACAGAAGGCTGCCATTGATCCTACTTTTCATATTGCTTGAAGTAAAGTCTGATGTTTCAACACAAATATAAACACTATAGTGGAGGCTCTCGTGCTCTAGAATTAAGCTCTAAAAGTTCAAGAGTATACACTAGTGGTACTCACCATAACTTCCATTTTCCTCCAAAATTCCTGTAGTTTAGCCATAGGCTTAAGCCACCAATCAGTGCACTTCAAATAGCGCTTGCCTTGGAACCAAAACTGCCTAAGCCATTCAAACTCAACCTGCAAGGCAAAAACACACAGTGGCATGTCACTTGTGTCCCTTTAGGGCAGCACACTGGGGTAGGTAATGAATTCAACAACACTGAGACTATGTCACACAAAAGCAGAAGTTTACTCAGGTCCTTGTTTCCAAATGCCTCCTAACACCTAGGTGCTGTTTTCTCTTCTACTCCTTGCAAACCAAGCAACTCCCACAAAGCCTAGAGAAGTGCAAAAAAAACTTCTTTACACACAGGACATGTACAACAAATTCCAGAAATTTAAGCTTTCTCATAACTTGGTCAAATGTGCATCAAGTGTGACTTATTTTGATTAACACTGTGGGTGGGGAAAGAGTTTAGTCAAACAAAAGACCAAAGAAACTTGCACTAATAAAATAACCCAAATAGGACTAGTCAGTAGCTAAGGAACAGGAGAGTAGCATTAAAATGAAACCTGGATTGTGACAGTTCTCCCATTAATCTGGTAACTACCAGTAACTTCCAGATTACCTGGATCTAAACACAGGACTTAGAGCCCTACTCTGTCAGACCTGCACTAGGAGGGGATGTCCCCAAGCTGCTTGGGCTCTGTCCCATGGCACCAGTGGCGCTCGCAGGGCACCTCACGGCTTTTCTGGGCACCCAAGTTTTTCTTTTTTTTCCCCCCCCGTGAAGCTCATCTGAAAAGTGTGTTTTATGAAGAAAACTAATCCTCAAATGAAGCAATACAAATGCTCTCAGAAGCAAAGTAATGCATTTTTTAAATATAAAGCAAAGAAGGTATATTGAGGAGGGTGGTTTCCACTACACATATAGGTACATGAAACTTCAGGTGGAATTAATATTAAATTTCCAAAATTTCAAATAGATGGAAGTAACTCATGAAACAATCTTTCACCAAAATATTTCCATTTATCGTAATTAATGGTGAGCCTTTTTCTTCAATAGAAATTTGCATTTCTTGTCTCTACATATTTATTTTTGTTGTGATAGTTACTGTACACAGTTCAAAGCTGCTTTCATCATTGCTTGCTACCACAAAGAAGGTTTTGTTTATCCCCACTCAGTGCTGATGACTTGAGCAAAGAAACTGTAAAGCTGCAAGAACAAGAACTGCCCAAAGCTGTCACTTCCCTTCTTTCCTCAAAGTAGAGGGACAGGCAAGTGTTTCAGGTAACACAAACTGTGTAGTCATTGTCCATTAATGATTTTAGTAAAAGCTACTTAAATGCAAAAGAAAAGAATATTAAAACCACTCAGTGAAACAAAAGTTGGCAGAAGTATTTTTACAAAACAGAAACAAGCCCTGCAAGCTTAGCAGCTTTTTAGTTTGGTGACAGACATCCCTCCTAGTAAAACCAAGGAAAGGTTACTGCTTCTCTAGTATTAACCAGGGATGCAATATGGAGCTGCATTTTGTTGCAAGTGAGCATACAGAGTTTGGGGATGGCCAGCCACTTGAACAATCCAGCTAGAGCTTTGGGTACTCAGCAACCTTTTTTCCTTCTTTTTGCTGGTCTCTCCCATTGGAAGGGCTGTAACATTAGTAGATGGGCAAGCACAATGTGCCAGGAAATAATCCATACAAGGCCATTAATCTATATCTTTTCTTAATACAAAGAAAACAAGGCTACATCTTCACATGGAAACTATCCATTCACTAGGTGCAAGATGTACTGAGCAATGGGCTTGTTCATTCAGTGCTAGAATAGCTGGTCTCTCCAGGGCTCCTTGTACCAACCTGAAATCTGTTTTTTGTTTTTTTTTTTTTTTTTTTTTTAAATGATGTAGACCTTTACCAGCACTCAAATCCAGGTTCATACCATGTCACATCATCTTAGTTTAGCCTCTGACTTAGGTAATAAAAGAGTGTGTGTGAGGGGGGACCAGCGTCTCATCTACCAATTTATCCAAAAACTGCTTAATAAGTGCCAGCTTTGAAATATTGAAATATTACAGAAATAACCATGAGCACATAACTGTTGATTCAAGAAAAAATATCATGCTAAAGAAGCAAGGGTGACTTTCTCTATTCATCTATCCTCAGACATGTATAAGCACAAATAGATAATGGTTAAAAATTCTTCAGAAATTCCAACTCTGACAAATCACTTTTTATTCTTAAATTAACATTTGAACACTTTGAGTCCATTACTAAGGACATGCTTTAACATGTGCACATGCTCTCTGCTTTCCAAGATCCCTTGGAGCTACATATCTCTTTCTCTCATTGAACTCTATTCAGCAGTACTTTTGTCTGGCACGAGGAAGGCATTCCTATTAGGTCACTCGCTTCTCTCACTTCCTATGAGCAGGAGGAAAGGCACCAGGCAGAAAAACAACAGGAAGCATCACAAGGAAAAGAAAGCTCCATTCTAGACAGCAAACAAAGTTAGAGAACACTCATCCTCTTGACAGAAATTTATATTAACAGCTCCCCTCGTTGAGGACTTTGTGAATGAATTTTCATGCAGAGATTCCTGTATGCCAGAATAACTTTAATTCATGTTAGGAAGCAGTAATTGAATTGCACAAAGCCTAACTAGATTAACATTTAAAAAAGCTTCACATTTTAGGAAACATTTTTACCTCCTAATTAATTTTCATTTAAGCCAAGTTACCTCCTTGCATATGCTGAGAATGAGGCCTCATGCCTAACCTCAACATATTTCCAAGTTGTCCTTTAAACAATGATTAAAGGCCAGTTTTAGGTTATAGTCAATACTGGGTAGTAAAAGGCCAACAGCAGCATTTGACATTTTGTGAGGCAGTGCTCCCCAGTCAATTATTTAAAAGTATTGGTTATTAAATGCCATACATGCAGGTGAGCTATATTTTCTCTCTTTTGTACCAGCCAGCCACTAAGCATGCTTCCACTTCGCTGCAGTGTGCTAACACACATTAACCTGCCTTGGCTGTGTACACTGCTACCTTTTCTCAGCGGTGACCCCAGGATTTACCACCACGTATCTTGCAACTTAGGTAGCCCAGGTTGCCCAATATCCCTGTGCATTCACCATACTCAACCGAGCCACTGTTTTCAGAAGAGAAACCCATACACAAGTGACAGTACCTCCCAAGAAGAGTAACCCATCAACCTCATAAGATGAAGGATTCAGTCAGCACTGCTGAGACCGCAAGATGAGATCTGCTCTTTGCAACTTGAGCACCTAGTTTGAAACTTGTGAGAAAATCAAATTCAAAAAACACACAAATTCCCACACACTTTGCTTTACAGGTAATATTTAATGATTAAACTGGTATGTGCCAATAAGGAACTCCTGACACCATCTCACATAACAGGAACCTACTATCAGACTTTGCATTACTCAAAGCAACAAACTGTTTTTTGAAATGCAAAGCCACAGCACCAAGACTGAAGTCCAAAGAAATATTTAAATTCTCCTTGGTTGCCAGTTTCTGTGCTCTGACCAGAATTAAAAAAAAACAATCTCCTCCAAAGCTTGAGCCTTTCAGTTCTGGTCTACTTGATCAGCTCAGCAAGTCAATTTTCATGCCCACAGAGTGAAGAATCATACTTCCTCCATCACCCTTCCAGATTGCTCCTGGTCTTTGCCCTCCAGCAGACAGAGCTAATTCATCTAGATCTCATTTGGCATTGCTGTTTGTTCCAGCAGTCACTATGAACCAGGGCTATACTACTACTTTTTAACTGAGTTGCTCATAGCTTGATGCCTGCTCTATGGTTCTGTTCCAGTCAATCATTTCTGATCATAACTTCACAGGTACCAACAAGAAATAAGAAAAAAACTAATATTTTAGTAAATACAAAATCAGGAAAAAACAGTTGCATGTAGTCATCTGGACTAACACCTATGAAAATCTTCTGTTACAAAGGATATTACAATGAGATAGAAGATTTACAAGGTAGTTGAGATCTAGCAGAGCAAGCTGGCCATTCGAACAGAAATATACAGTCAAAACAAGGTGGGAATTCTTCATTATGTTCTTCATTCTTTTGTGTTTGCCATTTCTAGTAGAGCTTTAACTTTTAAAAAAACTGAGAAACCCAAGAAAAAATGGAAAGACTAATCAAATCCTGATCACACTTATTTTTTCATCAGTAGCTGAACAACTTGGTACTTTGACAAAATGAAACATGTTCTTCATATGCCTGTTAAAACCTGAATCTAAAAGCAGTCCTAGTGCCTGAAACTACACAGATTTATCATACAAGGAATAAAAGACAGTAGGAAGCTTTTTCATATACAAAAAACTGCCTCACAGATACTTATGTTTTCACTTCAGTGATATGCAAAAACAAAACACGTATTTATCACCATGTAAAGCCACAGATGACTTTTCCTACTTGTACAGCAAATAAAAGGCAAAGCTTAGACAGCACTTCAACATATGGTATTTATCCTTCAAGGGAAGAGGTGACTTCAGAAAAAAGTTTAAAAAGTGAGTGGGTATTCTCCTTGCAAATGAAATATAGGTCCAATGTGTCCACTAAGACTAAGTGCGCAATATGTACAAGTTAAACAATGATTCCTGCTATAGCATATCCCATATGTGTAACAGGAAACATCCCTGTATGTCACACAGCAAAATTATTCAGGTGACTGCAAACACCAGGGGCTAGTCTCTCACCTGATGTAAACGGCACAGGTCTTTGATGTTCAAGGGCCCATGCAAATTCACACCAGCTGTGCATGTGGCCCTGGCTGTGCAAGCCACATATGCATAGAGTTTTATGGACTGCGTCTGATTAATGTTTTGTAAAGCCCTGCGTGCATCAGGCTTCTTGCAATCGTTCTAGGAACCATTTTGCTAAATAGAAGGGAACAAATCTTTTGCCATCACTGCACTCAATTTTACCTTCCCTAAACACAATATAAACGAACGTTTTACAAAGTTTTAGCAATGATATGCCGTATTACATTCCCCAGGAGATGGCAATTTAAATAAAGTATCTGCACAAATGTCACTTGAATGAAAATTATGTACATACTATAGGTGTCCCAGTAGAAAGACAATGACACTTATCTCAGTCGAAATCCAGCAAAGCTCCTTCAAACTGCTTCAATATAGCAATGCTGTAAAGAACCACTGATATTTGAGCTCAGCATAAATACTTTACCAAGAGATTACCATCAATGCTTTTCAGTTTGCAAGAGCCAAAAGCACTTCAGGTGGAAGCACAGCTTTCCGAAGAGCTAAACAATCTGTCATTTTAAAACGCTAGGAAAAAAATGTATTGTTAGCTATCTTCGAAAATGCCAGTAGTGTAAGGTGACCCAAAAAGATTATGTCAGCCCACCAACTCCTTCCATTAACACAAAACTCGCAAAATTTTAGCAACATTCCCCATGACACTACCCACTTTTATATTTCATACTATTCTGCAGGATCACCAGGTGAACTTGGCTCTTCCTCAAAACTATTCCACTGCATTTTCTTCAGAACATGCTTTAAAGTAGATATACTCACATCTGGCATTCTGTAGAGGATTAGCTACTAGCTCAATGCCTGATGAAAACCTGAAAAGTTTCTATAGGATTTTTACTTGCTTGCACTTGCCTTAACTTATCTTCCTCTCTCTTCCTCTCTGAAAGCATTAGTGCAGTTCAGTTTGTCCATACCAACAAATTTTGCACCAGAAAACCTATCTCACTAAAATTTCACTGAAACTACTCTTTGAACCTACCAGCAGAGGGATCTTAAGAGGAAAAAAATGAAGTCTTGCTTGAGAATGAAAGTATCAGACATGAATTCAAATAATAAAGTGAACAAGAACACATTTTAAACTAGTCAAGAGCAGTATCTTGAGTTGTTAAATGCATTTAATGCATATTAACTTCCTGAGCAAAATGCATCTCAGAATCAGGCTGAAATCTCTTTCAGCAAATCTCACCTCATTATGTGTTTCTTCCACCTGCTTTACAACAGCAGCTTCCAGAGATTTCAAAGACAAAGCCATTGGATTAGAATCAGTCTGTAAATTCTGCAGTGCAAGCTCACATCGACCAAGTATATAATCCAATGTTCCTCTTGAACACTATTAAAAATAAAAAAAGAAATATGTAAATATGCAAGTAGGTACTTGAAAACTTAAATATTTCTCAAATACATCCTCAGAATATTAAGATGCCCCAGTTTCATTTTGGTAATAAAGTTTCCATACTATACAATATGAGCTCAAAGCAGTTTAAAGAACATCTTATAAGCATTTAGAGCTTTTCAAATTCAAAGTAAATATATATTTTCCCATAAAAAGCACAGAAGCAGGAACAATAAGCAGGAATATTCTTGAGAGAAAAAAACACTGTGTTGTCTGTTCAAATGCACACCATACTATAGCACTTTATATCAAAGTTGGCTTTGATAGAACACTCAGCTCAACTGAGCTAAGTATACATTTATTGAGAAATAAAGCAGCATTCTCGTGTTCCAATACTTGATTTTTATTACCTCTTATGTGTGTTTGCATTTGTTACCACTTGTCTTAAATCATTAGACACTACAAAAAGGCAGAGAAAGAGTACTTGGATATATGTGTGCAATAGAAGCACATTTTGTTTGCCTGAAAAAGGACTTTTTTAAAAAAATACAATAATATCTCTACTTCTGGATACCTTTATTTGAATACTCTATACATAAAGCTAAAGATAAAAATGAGAAAGGAACAAAAAGTAGAGGCTTACTTAAAAAAAAGTATCTTAACACTTCAAAGTGAAAGGTTGAGCCCTTGCTATCCAAAAACAACTCTCAGAGAAGGCTCAGACTCTACATCACCTGAGTGCTTCTTCCATCACTAGAAGCATCAGAAGGATCCAATTTAAAACCTACTCATGACTGCTCTTAGTTGTCCTGACCTGCCCTAAAGGCTGTTTCTGCCACTGGACCTTGCTGACATATGTTTTTGAATATTTCTAACTCATCATGGATATTGCCTTTCAACAGGGACTGCAATACAAACAGAGCAAGAGTTGTAAAAGATTTCAGACAGAAATGAAAAAACATGCAACCATATTTCTTCAGTAATCCATGAATTAGCACACTGCTAATTTGTATTTTATAGGCCTAGCTCTGTCATTAGCTCAACTATAGAGAGGAACTATACCTTGATCAAATGATAAATGAAAAGCAGTAGTTCAAGCAAAACATCTAGTGAGTCATAGCTATAACTGAACTACAGTTCAGAACACTGCAGCACAGTGCCTGGTTGATGGTATCAGAATATTAACTTGACAAAACAAAAAAGAGCAATCCATTTCTGACTTACATCTGCCACTCTGTGAGTTGAGCTGAATCGAGGTACAAAACCAGCCAGAACACAATGTTGATGTGTCATATTGAGATCATCTAGAAACAGAAAAGAAAACCTTAAATACAGGAAAAAAATATACTTTACTCTGTTTGATATAAACTCATGACATGAAGCATTAGAAGCAAAAAATTCAAATAGCATACAGTACTGTCCTGCTAAAGCCAGGCATTTAGTAGACCACAAGAACTACCATAATCTTAATGTTACAAAGACCTCCCATACCTACATTTTCTCCCAGCTTACCTGGTTTAGAAGTAGACTTGGTACCATCTCCCATGTGGAAAAAACCCAGCTACGCCAAACAAATTTTTCAAGTAATTCATCATGATAAATAACGGACTATCCAGAAATTAAAAACGCTTTTCTCACAAAAAGCTTTCTTCACCTAATTGCTTTAGGTGATTTTAACATGATTTTAAAAAGGCAAAAGACTCGGATCATTTTTTCTTCCAACCTCAAAACCATCTGAGAGTCTCTGCTCATCTCAGAGGCACATACTTGGGCTCTCAGAAGGCTAAATGGGCTCTAAACTCTGCCTTCAAAGCATAACGCTCTTACCATTAAAATGACATTGTCGTTCTCCTCTCAAACTCAACAAGTCATTCAGGAAAACCCAAACTCCACTATACAATCTCTACCAGGTGTTAAAACCCCTAAGGTTCAAAGTCAGCAGAAAAAGTGAAAAAAAAAACAACCAACCACAAAAGCTAACATAAAAAACCAAAATCTTTTCATCTAATCTGTTACCGGAGGAAAGTAAAAGATAAGGGGAAAGACCTGCAAGATGGTTAAATTACAACATATATTTTCAAGAATATCTATTGTTTCGGGGAACATAGATTCAGACAATATTGAAAGGAGTTTGCTTGCATCCACAGGAAGAAAACCAAATCTTCCCTTGGCAACAAAACTTGGTGCTTGAATGCTGAACAAAACTTCAACTTTGTCTCAAGTGGAACATCTAAGAAACATGGAGACCATTTCCCGAACGCATATATCGCAAAAATCCATATTCCTTTTAAATTTTGTTCTTTTATTCCTGTTCCTTTCCACCTGCCACTTTTCAATGATTCATCTGCCACCTTAGAACCGGGTTCCATTATAGCAGTACTAGTTGAGACAGGCCCAGGCAAGATTTATTAAAAGAAATTAATCACATGTATGATTGTGTACAGATGGCTGAAGCCACTTTGGAAAACACGGTTATCAACTTGAGGTCTGCTTAAATAATTTGGGGGTCAGATGCAAAAAGGTTTTGACTTTACAGATGAAATACTAAATACTATGATTAGCGGATGATGTGATTGCCTGCAAATGCATACAATTCTTAGGCAGCACATGTGTAAAAGGGTTCGAGAACAGAGTTTTTGCTAAACACTGTTTCCGATTCCTCTCATCTTCAGGGAAAAACACAACCATCACTGCAATAATCATCATCTCAGTACTTTCCTGGCAGCAAGCATTAGTCAGTGGCCCTGTGGCCTGATCCTGCTCCCCACAGTCCTGTCCTGGCTCTTTTCAAACCTCCCTGTGCATAATTTTCTCAGCAGCCAGCAACAGCACCAACACTGACACTATAAGCTGTGTTCTTATGCTAGATGCATAATAAAAAAAGATAAAAATTGATACCAAAATTCACTTCAGACAGAGCTTTTTTCTAGCTCTCAAGGTTGAGACACTCAAACAAGATTCTTCAGAAAAAGAATTACTATTATTCCAACTTTTTATAAAATGGCATATTATTACAGGATAACAACATAATAATAGTATAACAATCCTATTAAAAGATGTAATAGGCAATGCTTTTTGGTGCTGCCTCATGACAGATGAAACTGGCTCCTTTCCCCTCACCTCCCAAATTAGAACCACAGTCCAGTCATCTCTGGACAACATATGGATAGTGTAATATTAGTCCCGCACTTGCATTTTCCTTTCATGAAAAGGAGGAACTAACGGATAAATATCTGCGGGCCTAACATACATAGATTTAACTGTTAGAGCAGACGAAATGTGACAATCCAAAGCAATCCAAGGAAACAAAGGTTTTATCCCTACTGACTTTCTTCATTTAGAAAAAATTAAGATACAGCAAGCAAGAACAAGAAAATAAAACCATCTTAACCAATCCTTACAGAAAGGAGTAAGGACTCAGAACGAAATCTAGATCACTACACTAGGCAAAACACATCAAACTATCTCTTAGGAGAAATGGATCTCAAGAAAACACAAAGCACAAGCTACAAACTCCACTCAGAGCTGGCAAAAATCTATCTTCTTAAAAGAGTTCTTTTCTTCTTTTCTATCTTCTTAGACGTGTTCTTAATGGAGCTTTTTATTTACACAGCTTTCTTTCCCAACATTCATTTTGAAAGATGGTGGGAAGCAAGACCAGAAGCACTGGCAAAAGCTTTGATATTCTTACTGACCTAAGTATTTAGGAGAACAAATACAAAATACACTTGTGCTATTTATTTTAACTGCTATAAACAAATAATTTTTCTGATTACTATCCCACAGGGTCATTTCCAAAAGCACTAAGATGCTTTTCCTCCATTTTATTCCGCATTTCCCCTTGTATCCGTTTGCACACATCACATCACCCAAGACTGAAAAGGAAAGGTTACACATAGACCATTTCATAAAATTCATCTCACCATTGTACGGGTGGAACTAACACAACTGTATTGTAAATACATGCAGGGCTGCACTTGCCTGACAAGGAAGAAAAAAGTTCTCTGAGGAAATGCAAGGTTGACAGATGAGCAGAACCCATGGCAACCAACTCCTTCACCCATCTTTTAGCAACACTTCAAGAGCAGAAATCTAAATCAAATTGATATTACTGCAGGTAAATTGAAAGAAAGCACCGAGTAAACTATGGATTCTTCCCCAAGAAACTACAGGTCAATGGAATTTGTCTTATCCTACTTCCATAACAGAAAGCTAGAGATAATCTGGCCCTAATTAAGAAATATTTTTAGTTTTGAAACAAAAAAGTGTGCACAAAACAAAAACACAGAATGAATTAAAAGGCTGAACTAAAAAAAGATGTCTGGGATTTGCCAAACTACATGATCAAAGTTTGGTAACAACAAATAAGTTTCTGGGATTCGAAGCCTTAATAATCAGGGAGTATAACATTTGGATTAAATGTGGAGTCAAGGGAAAAAAACACTACTGGGTTAGATAACTCCCAACACATTCAAGATGCTGGAGAGCAAAAAGGGTTCAAGTTAGTTTGTGGATATAGAAGCAGATTAAATATCTAGGAATACTTTAATGAGCCACTATATACATGTGGAAATGTTTCTATTAAATAGTTATCTTGAACCGCAAGCCTGGCTCTGCAATGTGTGCACCCGACTTCTGGTTGGTTATGAAAATAATTTTTGTATGCTTCTTGAACTATATTTTGCTGGCGGTAGGGAGAAGAATAAAATTCCAAGTTCATCTTCATGCTGTTTTCAAACCCTAACCTTCAAGCAAGGGTTTGATCTATGGGAAACAGCTGTGGAAAAGTAAATCTTCTCTCTTTGAAAAAGGCCAGAGTATTTTTGTTATATATGTTTTGAAGTCATGGTAGGAAAATTAGTGAAAATTGTAAATCTGTTTGCAAATGTGGTCATGTCTTACTAAGATTAGGGTAAAGATTGCAATTTAATAGTAAGACCATGACAACCCTAGTTAAGCATGCTCTGGAGCAGAGCAGATGGGGCACTCTGCTCACCTCCACGCGTTTTGGATTTATTGCAGGCACCCAACACGTTTCATATTAGACACCCCTTGACTGTGTACTTGAGACAGCAGGGTTCAGTATGCACTTCCTCTGCAGACCAATATATTATTCTGAATGGGGCTAAAGTGTTTCCGTTCCATGAATGATATAAATTCAGATTTGAGTTTTTAGGTAGATTTGCAATCCTTCAGCAATTTTTTTTTCCCCTTTCATATTAGAGAGAAGAGCCTTAAAAAAAGCTGTCATACTCAAAATTAGTTAGGACTTGATTTTTAAATCAAAATACATTTGTTATTGTAATAACCACTCTTAAAATGGATGGATTTATCACCAGGTTTAGTGTGAGTACGCATTCAAATTAAGGCTTATTATTATTTCACCTGAAGGCGAGTGCTGAGAACACATGGCCTGTATTTCAAGATTTCATTTCAATAAAATCCTACCAACAAGAACAAAGATTTTACAGAGCCAAGAAGAACAGAGGAAAAACATTACTTAAAAAATAGAAGAAACTAAAAACAAGTCCAATATTCTTGCTACCTGCTAGCTCAGAATTTACAAGTGAGTTATTGGATATACACATTAAAATTAGAAATATCAAGTTAAAGCTCTCCTGAGATTTACATGTACAATATTAGCAAATTTTTGACATATTACAGGTACAAGAATTAATAGGGGCTGTCTTTTTAATTATAAACCACATACCAGACTTGACATTTCAGTATTTTCCAACATCCATATCAAGCATTAGATCACTGCAAAAATTCAGACTTGCACTACTGTTCAGTTATTCACTAGGGTTGGGAAAAAAGCTAAGAATGGTAGTGAGAAAAGTACATGTGACCGTAAGTGCACCCTTTCTGTTTCAAGGGCAGCTACCACCTAATGCCCAGAGTTGCACAACTTAGCACTGCACATCCCTGCATGTTGTTTCCACTGCTTTTACCATGCTGCTTCACTTGCAAGTAAGAGGACTCAGCTGCCAATGACTTTCTGGAAAGTACAATGTATAGAAACACAAGATAAATGAATCTAAAGTTACTTTCTTGACTGTCAAATTATCTTTATTCAAAGTTTTCATGTTTCACCTCTCAGCATGCTCAAGACCTCCTCTTACAGAAGTTTAAAAAACATGAACAGTATAAAAACACACTATCGAAAAGGTAGAGATCAATCTATCTTACGTCCCTCACTTCAAGTAACCAGGTTGATAAAAAAGCACTTCTGATGTACACAGATAAGGAAAAAGACCCTAAGGCTAAACAACCTCAGGTCTGAAAAACCATAGGGCCATTTTGGGAACACTATCAGGCAGTTGCCACTTTAGACATTTATTATTTTAGTACTTTAAGTAAACAGGGGAAAATTACAAAAGCTACAAAAACGCAGAACAGACTATCAAACATCTGGTCTACAGAGCTGTAGCTCTCCATGTAGTCTTAACAAGAATAAGTGATGAATACATCATCTTCCAAATAATGTTTAATATATCCTTTGTTTCCATCTAAACATGATCAGGATGTCAGTGTTTAATAAAGCAACTTTCTGACTCAGCCTTTTTCTGACTCAGCCTTCATGTTTCCAAAAATACTTCAGTTAAAGAATATAAATTCCACTGGGGAAAAAGAAATACTTTTATGCTTTAACTCAAGTCAACTATAATCTATAGAATTTTGCAATAAAAACACTGATATCAAAGAACTTTGCTTCACTACTTGCCTTCTGAATCTGTTTGGCCAGCAAGGTTTTTTAAGCACAAACTTTGCAGTCAGGAAGCATTACTGAACAAGATGGCTCATGATAGATTTATGTTAGAAGAGCTACTGCACAAAAATAGATCAATAATTACCTTTCTAGGAATATTTAACCACCATCTAAACTTGACTTTAAGAAGCATCTCAGTGTCCTTCCAGGCTTCTACTCTATTACCTTGCAAATACAGAAGAGGGAGGGCAACCTACACCACAGGGCTGAAGCATCTCACTTGCTATCTTAACAAATGATCTGCTCATGACTGAATATACGGAATATGTCAGAAAATCCAGTTATTCTACAGTTTTTCTTTTTTTTTTTTAACTTGACTGATGACAATATTCAGGATTTGACGAGCTAAGAAAAAATGCAGTACACATTTGCGAGCAGTCTTAAAAGTTATAGGCCATGTACATATTCATGGAGAGGTCAGAAAGAGAAAACATTCCAACCCAACCAGCTGGCAGGGGGAACATCACTATAAGGTAGTTCTTCCATGATGTGCCACTACATAAATGGGCAACAAATATTCTTCTCAAGACATTTTTCAAGTCAAATCACTGAACACTAACAAAAGCATTGTTTGTTTTAGGTTGTGTTTTATATCCTCAAACAAAAACTGTACAAAAGAAACACACAACAAAAGAAATACAATAGTTATGTCAACAAACTTGGTCTCGATTCTTTTAACGTCTCTTCACTGTTTCAGCTCGTTGCTGAGACCAATTAATTTAATTTTTTGATCCTCTATGAGGCATTGAAAGAGTATATATCCTCCTTTGACTAAGATCAGTTTATGATCTGAGTATAATTACAATATTAACAAATGGTATGTTTGAATATGTACTTAAAGTGTTAGCAGATTGAGAAAAGGTGCCATATCTAAAATTGGTGACCAATAAAACTCACAGATGAACATCAAGAATCATGGAACCAGAAAACTAAGATGGTCATTGTCACAGTTTACAGGACAGAGTCAATCTATAACCCAAACTCAAGAACTGGGATAAAAAGAAAACAGAAGACAAATACTCAGCACGTAGGTGTTCACTATTCTGTGAAACTGTACTGAAAACACAGAAAGGAATTAGCATCCACAAATACAAGGATGGAACCGAGACAACTCAACTACTCACAGCAGCTAGGGAAATCCCGCCTATGACCTAAGATTGAGTTGAATGTTTCAGCTCTGGAGTCAAAGAAACATTGGAAGAAAAAGGTTCTCAAAAGCATGCTACGGATGAGTGAAGCATAGGAATAATTTACTACAGACTGTAGACAGGTCTTCTGCCTTGGTAAGTCACAAGAGCCTTCAATGAAGGAAATGTATGATATTTTCTATTTAAGTGTCAGTTTCTTTTTTCCAACCCCAAGTCCCCCTTCCCAGGTTGTGAAAATTACCCAGCATGAAGTAGCAGTCTCCTTGGTGAAGGGGCATTGCTAATCCAGGCGTCTCTATGTCCCATGCGACCTTCAAGCCTACATGCCAAACAGCTGGATCTCTTCCCTTCAGATTCTGTTCATTATTTTCTTCAGTTGTAGAACCTTTAAGGGACAGGGGCAGAAAACACCACAGAGAAATGAGACAAGATTAGAACCATAAGATACAAAATTGAGTTTAACAATACAGACTTAATGAAATCACAGATTGGTACAATGTTAATAGGCTTCAATTTTCTATAATCTCCATCTGATATAATCACCATCTCCAAGTTCAAAAGTACATAACAGATATAAAAACACCATATGAGACCAGCAATTTTTTGTAACCACACACATAAAAACAATCATATGAACTACAAAGCAAAGGCAAATCAGTCTGTAACCAACTCAAGTTCTTTAGAAGTTCTCAGGTTCACATAATGGGAGCTTTAAACTTACTTCTATAATGTTTTTATACTTTATTAAAACTACAGTAACCACCAGAGGAAGTGAAAAAAGGTGAGTGTAAAATAAACAACTTCCAAAAGAATTTAAAGGAATGAACTAAAATACATTTTATGAATAAATTCATTTGCTTATATACTCATAATTTCACCAAACCACAAATGAAGGCAAAGTGGGTAATTTGCACAAAGACACCATCCAGATCACCAAAGCTGAGGGAAGCATCCTCAAACGGTGTATGTAACAGCCTCAGACTAGCCAAACCTGATAGACAACACAGGTCACAGCCAATAAAGCTTCACTACATTTGCCACAATGCTTTTCTTATCATTAAGCAACATGAACGTGTTGAGCTCGAGGAAAAAGTCATCCACTCCACTGAAATAATATTTGGAGCTTAATCCCTCAGAACTCTTTTGAGCACTCACTTCACTGCACTATAAATTGAAAGATCAAGTCAGCTTTCATAGCAAGGCATTTGGAAGCTCGAGCATAACAGTTTTGTGGCTAATGTAACAGAGCATTTTGATAGAGGAGGTTGAAGTTTTAATAAGCTGTTGGCACTGAACTGCAGTCAATGGTTAGAAATAGTCAGCTATTTATAGCATGCCTACTTATTGCTTAAGTTAATAGCTGAGTATGTCCCTTCCCCGTCCATTTCAAACCTGCTTTTGTACAATAATTTAAATTTTATTACTCAATTACTTCTAAAACAAAAAACTTAAGATTTATAGCATATAGCATTTATACACGTAGACATAGCCTTGAAATAGGCTTTCAAAACATTCATGTCATTCTTCTCAGGTGGACTCTAACATTTGTTTAATTAGGAGACATTTTTAATAAATTCCTATAATTTTACAGGTTAAGATTTGCCTAATTCAGGAACCAGAGAGCTCAAAGCTTCTCAAAACCAACCTCAAGTGCCCAGGGAACAGAAACCCCTACCGTTTACTCCGTCCCCATATTCCCTCTGCTTTTGCTGCTCTCATACAAGTGAGGCCTTGGCTCAGGATCAGCTCTAGGCCTTTCCATCAAGGAGCACACAAATGAGAAAACAAGAGCTAGCAAATACTCAGAAAAATCAATACTAAAGTCTTCCAGGGGCTTTCATATTTTCTGCCCTGTTCAGATAAATCGTAACTTAATTTAAGAAAAAATGCTTTCTGAAAACTGCAAATAGGATGGCTTTCAAGGCATTTTTAATGCAATACATCATGGATATTATAAGAAGAGGTAACCTTTGTGGGTTAACTCTGTCTGTTATGCTGCTTTCCCATTCACTTTGGCAGCAGCACTGTTCACAATATGGCACCAATAAAATATAGAACTACAATCAGAGACAGCAATTTCAATCAAAGTATCCTGGGGTCTCCTCATAAATCCAGCACCTTTGGAATGTGCTCGTTAAAATGACTTATTTTTTGCAGTTTGATAAATTTTTTATTGCTTAAGTACAGAGTTCAAATGTAGCTCACAGACTCCTTTTCTCTATATTCCCCATGATTGCACCTTATAATTATCAGCAGCAATTGAAATTGATCGCTCCTGCCATGTTATTTTGGAAACAAATGGAAGCAAGCTGCTACTAGCTTTTAAATGCAAGCTATTCCAAAGTGAGAGGGAAAATCTCCTCCTCAACATTTGTGGTATCTGTTTGGGTAGCATGAACAGACTTATACATAACAAGAAGTCATTATAAAATTCTCTATGCAACACCTCAAGCATAACTGAACACTATACCTTAGTTGAGATAATTATGGTTCTCACTTAAGTGAAAACATCTGGATGTGTCTAAACTGCAGGTAACTCAGCATAAATCATGTGGTTCTTACACATACACAGCACCTTCTATACAAATAGGCCGTAAGAGCACATATTTATTTTGGAATAGATTATACTGAAATTGTCAAATGCTACAGCATTAAATGTAAACACAATAAAACTATTTTGAATTTTAGTTAAGAGTTACAGAATCTGACAGTAAAAATCTTTACAGTCCTTTACAATCTTGACATCTCAAACATAATGATCCAACTATGTAACAAGCTTATCACAACATAGCACTGGTGACTCAAACCAGTAATTAAGTATTGAACTGTGAAAGGAGAACTAGCTGCTGAAATTTGGCCAAAACATTATGCTTCTAGTTAAACTGCAAATATGGTCAAATTGCAAAGACATCCCAGCTCTCTTGCTCCACCTTTTCGGTTTGGGATCAGAACTAGGTCCAGAACAACACAAAAATTGTCTTCCATGATCTAGGTTAGTGAAGAAAGTAAACTTGCAAGATTTACTATTTGGCACCAAAATCTTCAAGAATAGCTTGAGAGGGTTTTTTTTTTTTTTTTTTGGCACTCAAACTCAAGAGTTCCCTGCTTAAGTTGAATTTTAATGCCAAACCATATCCTAAATCTAATCTAACATGATTTCTTAGAAAAAAGTACTTGCCAATGCACTGCTAAAAACAAAGAATTACGAACATCAACTTACCATTGACTCCAACTAACCATTTACATGAACATAGAACACAGTTATCCTTTGCAGTATGACTACTGTAGAAATTAATATAATTTGAAAATTAATATAATTTTTATACAGTAATGTAACTAAAATTCTTCCTCCTCCCTATGATCAAGTTTTGGCTCTGCTGCTCTCCAGTATTACCCATTAAGCTACTTTCCCTTAAATATCCTAGAACAGCTACATTATGAAAACGGAAGCACAGCAAATGAACTCCTGGACAAAAAGAAAAATTAAATTCCACCATTAAAGAGCTCTATAAGAAGACAGCATGTTCAAGCATGCAAGTAAAGCACTGTAGATCTGACCGGCTCTGGCTTACAGAACAGATTGTAATCTAACATATATACAAAACAAAAATGTGCTATCAACAATCAATGGCTATCAATGGCTACTGCAGGTTAGCAAACTGCAACCTAAGTAACAGACTCTCGATCAACAAAACCAATTTTACTTTGATAATTTATTTCTTGACAATTATAAACAAGACTTCCATCTTTTTGCATCAAATAGATTTTGCAAAGCACTGAAAGTGAGCAGAAAATCTGCAAACAGTATACAAATTAAGTAACCAAACCACTTGACTTCAGAAAGCCAATACAGAGCTAGGCAGAGTCCAAGCACCAGAAAAACTGCAGCCCCTGTTAACTTGTACACAACCCTAGCACCTCGCATGTGCTGCATGCAAGACAGTGAAAACAGCGGTGCACGCTCTGCTTGCCCAGGGTGGAGGGAAAGTACAGGTGTCTACCCACTGTTGAAACTGCACTAACTTTTTAACTTCTGCTTGCAATCAAGATTCACAAACAGATTTAAAAGAATTGCCAATGTTGTTCTTAGCAATTTACATGTGGGCTATGGAATATCCCTACACTGCTAAGGAAGAGTATTTGAGAGAATAGTGATACTGCAGTCAAAAGAAAAAACCCAGTTTTCATTCAAATGATGATTTTATTAAAGAGCTTTAAAGAGTACATAATTACCTTATTAAAACTGTTCATCTCAAAAAATACATTCAAGCAGCCAGCATCTACAAGTTACAGAATTTACCATTTCATCTACTTATTCCCCGTAAACAGTAAGTAACTTGCCATAATACTTTTACTCTTTCTACAAGCAGCATTTTTAATACATTATCAATATCACAAACCACTTAATATCATTGTTTATAGGTAGGTATATCTATAAACCCAGGTATAGGTGTACAGCAACTTTCACTTATGAGGCAGGACATGAAGAGATTACTGCTCAGCCACATGGTTAGAACGATTTCAATTTTAAAAAAATCCCTGAAACTGCACAACTTGTTTAAAACTAATCCCCAATTCCTGAAGAAATTAAGTTGCTTTATAATGTGATGTTGCATCTAATCTAACTGAAAAAACACAGCTACCATTTTACAAGAGAAATGAGTGTGAAAAAAGCATTACTGCAATTACCCACAAGTTAGTTAAACCTTTAAACATTACCTTGTCTGCTAGCAGATCCAGTCACTCATTATTCCAAGAGGTTTACAGTGAGTAGGCCTTACAGGCAACAGGCCAAAGAAAATATAGGAAAGTATCTAGTGCAAACTGCTTCTCCATCTCAAACTTTGTTTATGGGAAATACAGCAAAGAGAAAGATAAGCACTTCTGGTCACTACATGACTTCCCATCCGCTTTAAGCTGGTATCTTTTCTTCAAGGAACATCTTACCACTGAATTAACTGAATGATGAAACGTCCTGCAGAACTTAGGAGAACCTGAGGGCAAAGCATTCCGGAAGAAACGCCCTCAAAAGAAATGCCATTTTTGAACATGCTCTTATTCTAACAATACTGAGACAACAATCACTCCGCTGCAGTGCACAGGAAATATGGATGGGTTATTAAATTCATGGTGTTACAGTTCTGAACATGTCACTACATTACGGCTTCCATGCCACAGCAGAGCTCTGCATGCGTTGTTGTTAAAAAGCTTAAACTAGTCAGAACTGGGAACCTCTGTTTCCTGGCAAATTCTGTCAGTACAAATCAATTGAGAATTATGATAATGACAGGAACATTGAACACACATTTTTACATGTGTTCAACTGTGCATAAGAACCTATAAGAACTACTTTCAACAACATCAACACAAAAATTTAGCAAAACAGTTTTAAGGATAGAATATTTTACCACTTTACTTTGGGTTAAAACATTATAATGTACTGTGTTTTTTTATATTTAAAGTATATAAAAACAAAACTGTTCAGATGAGCTTTAAGCATTTTAATGCCTCTTTGTTCAAAAAGTGTCTCATTAAGTTGCTCTGAAATAGTTTGACACTTGAAACAAGAAACATTAATACTAATTAGAACATCAGTGTGCTCTAATACCTTTATGTTGGCTCTCGCATTACTTATCTAGCATGCAAAAACCAGCTCCAACTGCATTTCATACTGATCAAAGCATTGAACATCAAACTTTCATTATGGCTTCAAACAATGAACAAGAAAATCAAGTGTTTCAATTACATAATTAACTGCTTTAATAACATTTCAACAATTAAAGACATATGAGAAAAGATGTAAAAATACCACTTACAGTAAAAAGAGAGCCATCTAATCAGAGTTGTGCCCCTTCAAGAGCCAGGTAAACCAAGAGCTGCCCTATGGCCACCATGCTGCCCAACTCCAGGGGCACTTGCTAGCCAAAGTCTGACTGGGACTCTGCCTTTACAGCAAGATACAACAAACATATATACATACACACATATATAGCTGGGAAGCTTTGGGGAAGCACTTCTTTCCCCAAATTCACAGGATTCACCCTCAACACTGACTTAAATGACTAATTTAACATGACTTAAATGACTAAATAGCTTGACTAAACTCAATAACTAAATGACTTCAAAATTAATGAAAAATATTGATACAAAAAAAAGGAAAATACTGATAGAAAAAGCAAAGCTCTTTATGGGAAAATGGAAACAGGAGTCCCAATAAGCTTCTCCAAAGCTTTAATATCATAAAGTTATGAAGAACTTGATACAGTACACAGTAAATTGGTGAGTGTCAGTAACCTGCAGCAACTGCAACTCAAAAGAATATTTATAAGCACAGATGAGCAGGAAAACCTCTGTTCTAGTCTTTGGAAAAGACAAATGAGAGCAAAATGACAGTGTACTTAATACTCTACTAAATTTTCTACCATATATATAAATTCCAAACTTTTAGAATCACTGCACAATCACAAATGCCAAATTAAGCACAAGAAAGTCACAGTCATCAAGTTAGTCACTGAAAAACAGTGTTTTAAAACAAAAATCATCTGCTTTTTGACAAAAATTAAGCATATATAAATCTCTAAAGACTTTCTGGGGCAGGTATATCAAAGATCTTTTTACCCTTGTCAAACATTTTTTTAGAAAACGCATAATTTTTTACTCATGTAACACTGGAAATTGTTGAGAAAAAAATCAAGAGTCAATGAGCTAATTGACCATTTTGTTAGTTTCTACTTACGGACTAGTTTTTCTCTTCTTCTGACAGGGAAAAAGGGCATTCAAATAAAAAAATTTTAAGCATGTCAAGACATTCTACCACAACATGAATAACTTATGATTTTTCTAAAATATAACTGAAAACAATCACAGACAAGTTATATTTACCGTACAAAATTTTTGGCAAACTAGACAGAAGAGCAGTCACCAAAATGACAGTTGTACTGGTCAAGGGAGCCTTTTCTATCCTGTTTGCTCCCACAGCTGATATTTTATGTTCAGGAAAAACTGTTTTCTAAACATGGCGATTTTAGTCAAATGCTATGTAAAGTGACCTATAGTTTCAAAACTTAAAACCGGTGGAGTACAAATGTATCAGCTGTTATTTCTACATCATGGTCTTGAGCCAAAACCTACATGAGTCAGTGTGAATTTTTCCCATATTTTGAGGCAAATATCAAAGGATTTTGAAGGATTAAAAAAATAATCTAACTGCAAATTAGAAAACATAAGGGATCACTTCAAATTCACCTCAAGCAGGTAATTACCTAAATTCTCATCTTCTGCTTTTAAAACTAGAAACTCAGAAAAAAACTTTGACAGATAAGATCATCTTCAGTAACACAGTGGATTCAGAGGCAAGTGAGGAATCCAGGCTAGCATGCAGGTGAGTTTACATATGCACACATAGGGGAAAAATAGGACAGCTCCAGGGATTTAAAATATTTCTCCTAATTGCAGCTCTCCCATGCTACCTCCCCATCACTCACCTTCACAACTGTAGCTGTATACAGCAACCGTTGACCTTGCAATCAGATTCTCATCATGGTGCCAGCTCACAGCCATATCCCCCATTCCAAAATAAGGCTCTTGTTTCAAGTACAGCATTTGCAGAGGATCCATATAATTTAATAAAGTCAAGTTAAAAGATGTTCTGTTCTTTAGCCTTGTGTAGTCATCCTCTGAAACATAACTGCTTTGATCTTTTAAAACAGCCTCTTTCTCCTTAATAGAAGTATCAACACTTTGCTCCCTATCTATTACAACAGTATCTTTGGTTTCCTTACTCTCAGATGAATTTTGTCCTTGTAAGGCCTGGACTGCTTCAGTATGCAAATAGTCATTAAGTTTCATTAATGCTTTACAAGCATCACGTATGTGAGGACTGTAATATTTGATTTCATAATCCTCAGTAGGCCAAGGAACTGTAAATAATCTTGTGTTCAAGTACTTGTAAGTGCATCCTGGGTTTCCAATTAATATACGAGACACTGGGGTGACAAAATCTTTTCCTTTAATCCTTACAAGATCTTGAAAGAAACAATCATGTTTTCGCAAGGTCAAAAAGGCTTCTTGTACCACTCGATGGAGCTCCTCAGGTATTGTATCAGATTTCCTGAAAATTAGTTTGGAATATTTGGTCTTCCACTGAAGAAGAAAAAACAACCAACATATTACTCTTTATATAACATTCCACACATTCATAAATAAGGCTCAGCTGATAAGTTATTAAGCTCAAGTACAGAACATGAGAGCCATAGATACTACGATTTTTTAATTTCATATTCCTACATATCACACAAACTTTGGCTATGTACCAGTGGCATGTAACTAGACTTTATCACCCAAGTAAACCTTTGTTTCTAAGTGTCACAAAACTAAGAACCGAAAGTACCATCTAAAAGCAACTACACCACTTTAAAAGTCTGCCGAAGGCATCAATGGGCTTCAAACTTGAGGGATGAGCAATGCCTACTCAGGCATGTTCCTTGATATATCACAGTCGGCCTTAATCTAGGATCCTGTTTGGCTACCTATTATCTGTTACATTAGGCTTATTGCAAAATCCTGGCTAATCCCATGAGCTCCATCCCAGCCTGTGCTCCAGGGCCGTGTTCTGCAGGGAGCAAAGATGCATTTAGTCTCTGCAAAGACAGAAAAAATGAACTGAAAGGACATTCATAAATTTGTGATCACATTTTTAACAAGCGGTATAGGCAAAGCTTTGAAACACTCATAGTAGTATGACACTTGCACAGTCTTTCTTGCTAAAGCATTATTTTGAAAGGCTGTCAGAGCTTCAGAAAGCTGCCAAGCTCCTCAGCTTCCTGTTCAGTGCAACAACTGGTGCAAGTTCCCTGCACTTCAAGGGAAGTTGCTGGGCACAAAACTGAAACCCTGGCTCTGCCTTGGTGCTCTCACTATGCAGGTTCAGTGGTCAGTCTCAGTACAAAGTCTAAATGCATTTTTCAGGAGCCCTTTAGATAAATTTTTCATGGTTCATCGTTGATAAAAAGATAGGTAATGCACATATAAAATCAAGGTAAATCATGAACATATTCTTTCCCCTCAAATATTTGACCAGTCCCTTGCTAGACAGCAACATTGTCAATATGTCAGTAAATTACTGCAACATTGAATAGTCTCTGAATGTCATTAAGTTGGCTCATGCTACTTGTAAATTCAGTATGTTTCCATAACCTTTGTAAGGTTGGCATTTTCTAAATCTCCTAAACCTTACACAAGTAACAAGCTGCAGAAGATCCTTACAACAGGTCCTTGCTACGATATTTGTCAAAAGCATGAAAATTCATTTAGGGTTCATGAACAGCCTCATTTGTCTCAGGCAGTGAGTTGCATCTGTAGTCTTTGGTCCATACACAAATAAGACCTATTATCACAGAAATTTATAATTGCAATTTTAAGTATTGTCTCCAGACATGTAGATCAGACTAGTGTAATTTCACAATCATAGGATACTTACTAATGACACTATTACCTGGTGCAGTATATAAAGGTTCTTACAGTATATGTATCACCATGCAAACAGGGTATACAGATAATGAGAAAAATGAGAACATTTCATACTGAGAAGTATCTCAGTAGTTCTTTAAATAATTACGTATATAGGAAATAGTCATGTCAGATGAACCAATTACCACATTGTATCTTCTACTACAACAAATTTAAGACAACATTCTAATAAAGTAAATTTAAATTAAGGTATCACATTTTACATATTGTGCGTAAGATTCTATTACATAAGTAATCAGTAAGTGGAAATATATTTCAGATACATAACATAAAAGCTTGTTCTTCTTTAAATCACCAATCATTGCACACTAAGGAAACAATTAATGGATAAGAACACAAGGTGAACACTGTATTCACCCTGGATACCTTGTTGTGTTAACAGAAAAATACATTACCAACTGATGGAAACCAGCATCTCCTGGTGTCATATATGGAAGTCTACTCTCTCCAAGCTCTTCAAGAAGTTTCTTTTTCTGTTTATGGAGTCAAATTGAAACACAGAATTAGTCTAAAGATAGGATAAACCCAGTTAAATATTAAGGTTGTTGCATTAGAAAAACACAACACTGAGTTGATGCATCTCACTAGCCTCAATACTTGAAAATAAAGAAAAAAGTAACTTAAAGAGCTTTTCTATTAATAAAGTAGTAATTTCATGGCATATAGATTTTGATTCTGAATTCATCCTTACTCAACTGAGGAAAATGCATTATGTATACGTGTTGATATTGTGTACTGGCCAATGCCTACTTTAGCCCTTGAAGCTCATTTCTTATATCTTACTCCTGTTATTTTCTACTTCAAACGCTTGAATATTTTAAATAAAGGATTGAATTCTCCAACTTATTACAGCATTTTCTACTATATAGACACTATCACAAAAATAATTGTACTTTCAGCAACCTTAAAACATCTGTAATAACAGCACTATCAGGAAATGGAATACAGTTGACATGACAGAGCTTTGATATCAAGATGCATATTAACTTTAAGGATATCAGTAACGTTATCATGAATAACTACATTGTTACACAGATGTCATTGCAAAATTATTCCCTATATATGTCTTTGATAATGAACTTGATTAAAACAGTAGTTAAGGGTTTAATTGACATTCAATCCCTTTGACACTTCGATAGACATGAGAATTCATTACTAAAAACAATTATTTTCTAAGTTCTCCTGAAAAAATTCCTTCTTAGAATATTTTTGCATTGCATCCGGTTGAGAGGTCCCATATCAAGGTCAAAACAGATCTCACCAGTTCTGGCAATTATCTTGTCATACAAGTCTGGGATCAGAGATGGGTAGAGTGGAATATTCCATGGACCAGCTTCTTGCTTATGGCAAATGCACAGACAAGGAAGCTGAACAAGTATTAACACCTACTACATCCTCTGACAGTTTAGGAAGACAAGTAGAAGCTTTTAAGGTTTATAGGTGCCAGACCAGACAAACTAAAACAAGAGCACGTAGTTCTCGCTAACTCATCCCCCGCACTCGCCTTTTACTGATCCTAACCAGCCTGACAAGAACATCACTGAGATTTACAAACTAGAAATGTTATCTCGCCAGGTCTCCAGTTCCCTTTGGGGACACAATACATATTGGCATGAAGTCATTGGCAAAACCAAGCATCAGGTAACATTAGATTAAGTTGGCAAAAAATGGTTTGCTAGATCACCTCATACAAAATGCTAACTCCTCTACATTATAAAAGCAGGCTACAATTTTATTACATATAATCACAGAAAATTAGACTGCCTTTATTATCTGTAAAACAAAACATGAACTGCAGAAGAAAAGCCCTGTATTTTAATATACCTGCAGCTGAGGGAGACAAAGGCAGAAAGAAGAACGATTCTGACAATTTCTTTGTCAAAATCCAGTCTCTCAGCCAAAAGCACCCAGCATTAAAACACACTCTTGTGTATAGAAAGTACCAGCTCGCACTTGATTGTCAGCTCTGGCTAAGCACCCCTCCTCAGCTTGATGTACAGACTAATACACACAGCTGGCTGGTTTAACACTCTGCTCATCTCTTATGCAAGAGGCTGTCACATAAATGCCAAAAACATCAAGCTACTCACAAATACCTCCAAAAAGTCCAAAAAGGAAAAGTCAAAGATCTAGCTATAACCACTGCCTGTAGACCAAGTCTCAGGACTGCTAAGTAAGAGCTGGCTATAGACACTTCAATAAGTAAATCTTTTTTATAGCTCAAAAAAGGTGTCCTTATTTGAAGCTATTGAGTATTTAAGAGCACATTTTTCTAAATCAGAGCCTTACATCCTGCCTTTATTAGGCTGACAGTTCATCTAGATATCAGTATTACATTTAGGCTTTAAAAGACAATCAAATTTTTATACAGACTAGCAATGCCAATAGGTGAAAACTCTTTTTACATGCCCCATCACTTTAATATCATCATCCACCATGCACTGCTCAGGCAGCCTCCTGTGTGCTGCTGCCAGAGAGAAAATATCTGTGAATATCTTATTTCATAATTTCTGTGAATAGCTTATTTCATAGTTGCTGACTGAACAGCACTGTTATATCTGGATTTGATATGAATGATGAATTCCGATGAATGCCAGAAGCACTAATACCCACATTTAGGATGTACAATGAACTCTCCGACATTATCAATCTCTACCCAGTTATTAGTAATAAATGAATGTACTAATGAACGTAGTGGTCAAGCTGTATAATATTAGTAGAACTTCTCAACCATCATACATGCTTTGTTTGCCATGAAGCAACACACAAAAGGCATAAGACATAACTCACAAAAGGCATAAGTTGCAGAGCAGGAGAAATAACAGAAACCCAGTGAATGCACATATAAACTCATAAGATAAAGCAAGTTTTTTACAAAAAGGATTTTATTTTAATAAAAAAAGGAAGTTTTCACAAAAACTTGCTACGAAGTTACATTTGCCCTCCCAAGCATTCTTGAACCAATGCAAGTAGGACTAGCCTCTAAAATATAACCCTGAGCTCTTTCCTGCCCTGAATCTCTCATGTATTCAGGATGCTGCTAAAGGAAAAACACCAGCCTCACTCCAAGAGATTTTGGATATTAAAAAGAATTCCACTTGGTTAATTGCTAAAAACCACATCTACACTATTTGCATCATTTTGCCTGGCACAGATAGGCAAATTTTCCACTGCCAGAAAGTTCTGTTAACTTCCAGCTACAGCTTTTATACTTTTGAGAAAACAGACTAGAGATTAAACTCGGTAAAGCGTGCACACTTCAGTCCTATCTGCCATGTATTCCAAAAAGGTTGCACAAGTTGGCGTCAAATTTCAAAAGGGCGAACATAATATCTTTACTTTCATATTGTTTTACCTGATAAACTTTGGGATAAGGAAAGATTATCAAGGTTACCCAGCCAGGCCTTGCTGTAAGAATTTATGCTTTCAGGAATGCAAAGAAACAAACCTTGGGTTCCTATAAATCCCTCCTTCTTACTGCAGCTTTTCCTCATGTGAGGAAAGCACATAAGGGTCTGTGTCTTCTTTTTCTTTTTTTTTGTTGTTGTTACAAAAGCCCAACAGTAATAAAATATTTTTCTTTCAGGTCATGCATGAAGAAGGTTACATAACCACATCAAGTGCTAAAGCTCTCAGTTTGAGATGCATGCAGAAAAAAGCAAAAAAAAAGACAAATGCAGCTTTAAATACTTACAGCAACAACGTTGGGTAGTTACAAATTTTCAAGTCAATATTTTATCTACTATTTTTTCAAGTGCTAGCTATTAAAACTCTGCAACAACCAAAACGCAAGACCATTCTACTGACTCACTACATTCAGCTGACAAGTTAAGTCAGAGTAGCACAATATACATATATATATGTATATGTATACATATACATATGTATATACACATATATACATACAGTGTATGTGTAATATCCATATGCACACACACTAAATCTACTATTTGACTTTTTATCTTTCAGTTAACCCATATTAGGGTGTTAACAGCTTCAAGAGAGAACTTAACCAGCCTCATCGGTGCTACACCATCTATGATCCTGTCTGTCAGTGACAGACATATGACCATTCTGTTCTGTACTTTTCATACCATACCTTCCACTCAATAATCAATGTTTAGAAAGTATTAAGATTGCACCTGTACTTAGTTCTAAATGGGTACCCCATGTTACATTTCAAAATGCTAATTATTTAATGAAATCCCTGTGCACCTTACTGTCCTGCTGAAGAAACCCATCCAAGTTAGAGCATTAAAATGCTGCTTAAATGATTTGGTCACAGCAAAATTTTATGAACAGCCTACTGTAATGCAAACAGATCTTAGGCCTAATACCAGTCCTCGTAACTGAGCAGCTGTGTAAAGACTGCTTGATATTCCTCCCCGCTAAGGTGCTGTTTGGCTTTGCTTACCAATTTCAACCTCTCTTACCCTTCCTCATAAATCAGCAGGCCCAGAGCCTGGTTCCCACACACATGCACACACAAAGAGCAGTCATGCATATGCACGACATACTTGACTGATGTAACTCAACTCAGTTAACTTATGCATCGAAGCAGCTTAGGCAATGTGTGAAAAATGTCTTTGCTACCAGTATGCTTTCTCCAAGACCTGCCTTCATATGTTCAGAGCCCCTTAATTGTTGTTTTAACCTACAGGAACACTGCCCTGTTGGCCAATGGCTCTTAATGAAAGTGGACTGCCAATTTTCCTACCCAGCTGACAATGGACCAGTCACATACTTTAGCACTTAAAGTAATACAAGAGAAACTTGAAATGAAAACTCATTCCAACAGTCACTTTTGTCCAGACTTCTCCTCAAAACATTTTGATGCTGCTGTCCATTTCTCCTTCCCTCATTTATGTAGCCCCTTCCAGCAGGTATCCATTGGAAAATGGATCTGTTAGATTAGTATAGAGAAAGAACACCGGAACACTGCAGAAAAATTATGATCACAGTTCAAATGGACCTCAACTCTAGTTCATCTTTGTGTGCACATGGAGTACACATGCACAAGTATGTACAATGTACATGCACAGTCACGGCTTTGCAAGATAAATAGTAGTTTCTTTGTAGATAAATAGTGGTTTCATTAAATCCTTAACTACAGAGCCAGCTATACAGCTTTTCAAGACAGAATGAAGAGAGGCTTTGACTCCTTCCTACATGATTTACTTCTTTCCAATACAGGGAACATCCCTCAAGTGAAAGAAAATAAAAATATAAAGATGCTAAGAATAACTGCTTTCTTCACAGAAACTACTGAAAAAAAAAAGGTTTTTTTTTCTTCTTTTTTGCTTGTCTGTCAATGTATTTGCCCTTTACTTCACATGATGGAGTCTTTGGTTTCCACAATAAAGCTTTTAAAGCACTGAATTTCTGCACTCACTTCAGCAGAGGTTTGCAAGAGGGTATGCACCACAATAAGCAAACATCTGGATTTGGGACACAAAGGCACAAATGCTTTGAA